GATTCAGGGAGCGCCTTCCCCCCATTTCTGTGTAGACTTTCCACCAATGCGCAGTTTTCAACTGCTTTCATTCGGGTGGGATACAGGGGCCTAGGAAGAGTTCTTCCTTGTCTGTCATGAAGATTGTAAAGCTGCTGAGTGTGATGTGTTTGCACTTGAACTAGCTACTTCTATGTCTCCTCCCCAGGTTTCCCAGAGTGCGACTGGCCAAGCTCCCTCATGCAGCGGGTTCTTCCAGTGTTGAGCTCATTTGGTCCCGGTGGGGAGATGCTTATAAAGGAAACTGTGGCATGCTGGGTGAATAGTTTTTCTTTTTGTACTGGACAGATCTGGCTGCATCCCAGCTCTGCCACTTGCTGTCTGACCTCAGAGTAACTGTTTAATCTCTGCAAATTTAACATTCCTTTTCAATGAACAAGTAAATGAATGCTTTTAAGGATTTCAGGGAGGATTTGAAATAAATACATAAATAAGGCACATAGAAGGAGACTGTGTCAGCAAAGCAAGGGTACTGTTTCTCTTCTACAGCGTTTCTTGTGCCTGGAGCATGCCATGGTATTTGTTGAATGGATATGGTCAGGGTTCAACCAACAGCCACTATGATGGCTTTCGCTGCCATTTGGAGGTTCTGTGCTTGAGGGGAAACAACAATGACAAAAAATTAATGTGTTGTGGTGCCCGTCCTTTAAAATATGTATGCATATACAGATACTTCACAAGGCGCAAAGAAATCTAGAGTTTCAAATCAGTGTCACCACTTAAGATAGAAATGCATATTATGATTTAGTTGTACACTTTGGCATAGCCAATATATTTTGTCAAAGGAATCTTGTATCTCACTCTCAACTGCCTCTCTGAGGACTGAGTAGGAGAATGAAAAGATTTGGTAGTGCCTACTACACACAGACCTTGTAGAAGACAGAGGCATGAATATCCATGGTGAGAACAGACCTTTTCACTAGTCTGTAAAACTTTCATTTACAGTCTCAATTATGAGGCAGAAAAGGATTAGTTCTCATTCCTCTAGATATGATGAGAACATTTAAGGAAAGACATCTCTTATCTTAAAGTAGTATGGTCATATGTGTGTGTGTGTGTGTGTGTGTGTGTGTGTGTGTGTGTGTGTGTGTGTATGTACTATTAAGACTCTAGGAAAGACTCAAAGAAATGAATACACTGGATAAGAGAAACATGTAATTAGAATGTATCTCTGCCTGGAAAGCTCTGAGCATCATAAAGGGAGCCCGGCAACGAGCTCGAGGTCTTCCACAGTTGGCATCTCGGTTTTATTAGTTTTTGCCACTGAACTTTCTCTACTTGATCTTTCTTGGAGAGCCTGGCTATTCCTTTTCCCTTTCTCTCTTCTCCTCTGTAACTCCTCCACTCATTTTTCTCTATGTCAAGCTTATCAGATTCACTCTTCTAATGCCAGTCCATTTATCATGCTCTCACTTTATGACCTTTCCTACTGCATGCTTTCGTGAGTGTAACCTACAGGCCTTATACTGTTTTTCTTCTTGATTATGGCATTTCTCACAATGTGTCATTTTTAAATATAGTCCTTAAAACAGCAGTGCTATTTTGATACAGTTAAGTAAATTCCATAAAAATGTCTCTTCCACATTTTGCTGATAAAAAGTCCCATCCCATTGACCTCTTAGAGAATTTTCTGGTAGACTACTTCATTTAAATTACACTTAATAATAATCTACATGCTTGAAATTTGCTACAAGAATAGATGTCTCAACACACACACACACACACACACACACACACACACCAAAACCAACCAACCAACCAACCAACCAACGAACCAACCAACCAACCAAACCAACCAACAACAAAAACAGGATGTGAAAGGCCAAGTTCTGCTAATTAGCTTGATTTAACATTTCTACAATGTAGACATTGTAAAACATCATGTGGTATTCTATAAATATATAGAATGCTTTTTTTAAAATAAAGATGTATTCATTGTAAAAGAGTATTGTTTCTTTCTTTTCTCTCTCTCTCTCTCTCTCTCTCTCTCTCTCTCTCTCTCTCTCTGTGTGTGTGTGTGTGTGTGTGTGTGTGTGTGTGTGTGTGTGTGTGTGTGTGTGTGTCAGGGTAGACAGGGTCTCAGATCTGGCCTAGAACTCACTATGTAGACCAGACTGGCCTCAGACTCATTGAGATCTTCCTATCTCTGCTTCTCAAATGCTGAGATGAAAGGTGTGTGCCATCACGCCCAACTGAATTTGGATAATGTGATGGTTTAAATGAGAATGGCCCCCATAGGCTCAGATACTCGAATGCTTGATTCCCAGTTTGTGGGAATGTTTGGGAAGGATTAGGAAACATGTCTTTGTTGGAGGAGGTGTGCCACTGGGGGTAGACTTTGAGAATCCATACCAAGCCCAGTCTCTTTCTCTGTCTCTTTGCCCACCTGTGTGTATGTATCTCTTTGTCTCTATGTCTGCCTCTCTCTATGCCTGCTGCCTCCTGTCTGTGGATCAGGATGTAAGCACTAATGCTCCAGTGCCTGTCTGCCTGTCACTATGCTGCTTCCATCATGATGATCACGGACTCACCCTCCCAAACTCTAAACAAGGCCCCGATTCAATGTTTTCTTTTATAAGCTGCCTTGGTTATGGTGTCTCTTCATAGCAATAGAACAGTAACTAAGGTAGTTGATTTCAAAGTTCTTCATGGTTTACTTAATAGAGTTTCCTTCCTTCCTTTCTTCCTTCCTTTCTCTCTTCTTCCACTCATCCCTTCCTCCCTCCCCTCTCCTCTCCTCACTTCCTTCCTTCTGAAATTAATTGTATAAGCATTTGGCCAAAGTTTCCATGCACCAGATCCTGGGCTGGGTTCTAGGTGCATAGAACACAACAGTGATCCTTGTCCCATGTGACTAATGATGTCAGAAGAAGGCTGATAGGGAGCAAGCGCCAAACATATGTATATTACTAGTCTGCAGTAGGTGCTGTGATAAATTGTCCAGATGGGGAATCACAAGTGGGATCTGCCGACAGGCGACAGGAGGGAGGAACGTTATAGGCAGAGGAGGCCACAAGAAGCTGAGACAAAAACCATGGAGCTGTGCATATCAGCCAAGGTACAAAGGCCTCTGGTAGGCAGAGGCAGTGTTGGGCTTTGGGTTCCACTCCAGATGTAAAAAGGAGTTGCCAAAAGATGAAGCAGAGGTGCTTTACTTTGTATTTGCAAACATCTCAATTACTAAATGAAGGGCAGATTTAAGAGGCTTTAAAAACGAAAGCCAAGGGACCAGTTATGAAGTAGGACCATAGGATGTTATCTATAGAGAAACTTTTTATCAAGGATTCTTGAAAAACCAAGTAGTAGAAACTTCATATCAAAATATGTTCACTCATTGGGGAACAAGGAGCATGTTCAGGCCACCAGTAATTGTCTGGTATTACATCGTTTATCTGTTTACATACTGCTTCCTCTGCTTCCTGTCTATCTTTCCTACTGAAAATAATATTTGGTGTAGGAACTGAGCCTGGTCCACTCTGGATTGCTGATAAATATTTACTAAATGAATTGGTGAAGTAACAGGCAGAAGAATGCCTGGCTTGAACTTGAGTGTGTGCAATGGAAACAGACATCTACTTCTGAGATGGGAGTGCTGGGCTCAGGCCACAGATACTACTGCTCACCAGTTTGTTTTGTCCTCTTCTCTAGGGCTATTTTTAACTTCCACAAGCCTAGCCCCCAATTACTCCAGCACTGCTGGGTTATGAGGCCTCTCAAAACAACTCTAATTGGTTTTTAGGTGATGGATTTGAGAGGAATGGATAGTTGCTTTTTTTTTTCTACAGTAAAGAAAGAAAATGGCCTTACATGGAAGCCCCAAATGTGCTATTTCCCCAACAGTTGATGGTAACTCAAACATCCTTCTCTACCTGAGTACATCAGGTTCATTAAAACCCAGAATCAGGCCTAGAAAACTCTAGGCTCTGCCACCTCCCAGAGAGAGAACGAAATGCAGGCCAGTCTTTCTTATCTTACCGTCTAGTTTACCCTGAGAAGCTCAACTCCAGTTTGATTCATGACAGTCAAGGAGGCCAGATAAAATATCATGGTTCCTCTCTGTGCCCCCATTTCTTCCCACTTTCGTGACTATATTTGAAATCTCTTTCACAAAGCATTTTTAAAAACTGAAATAAGCCGATCATGTAACCCGTGGCACATTTCAGTGGGAATGCTATCTCCCTGCCACCAGGTTGAAAGGGCTGAGGTGGATGCAGTTGTCAAGGTGATGCTGGTAGAGAGAAGAGAGGGTAGAAAAGAGGTGATGGAAGGCTATGCTCCAGACCTGGATGCAGACTGCTCCACTTGGCTCCAGGCAAGCCCTGCTTACGTCCATCTGGATGAGTACAAGCACAAACCCGGAACCTGCTGTTTGTCCCCCACAGCTCCAAGCTCAGGACCCTCTGTCTCATATGATTTATGGAACTCTGATAGTTTTTGCCTTATAATATGTGTTCAACTCTTATAAAGGAATATTCTCCCCCAAAGGCTCATTAATGGATGTTATACAGTTGTCTGCAAGGAAAGTCAAAGGTGGTGCTTGATTATTTACTACTGACCATATACATTGTGTGTCTCATCTACACAGGTGACGATATAATTAGAAGTTATGAGAGGACAAAGTGAAGGTGTACAGAAATTTCAAACATCAAACTAGAAAATCCCCCCAAATTGCTCACACATGTGAGAGATTAGACAGCCATACTTGGGGCTTACTGAAACTTTTAGGCAGCCAAAAATTTTGTCATGATTGAGTAGCTGCGAACTAAAAACTTACTCCCCCTCTCAATGCCATTTTGTTATACATTTTAAATGAAGAAGTAAATTTGTGGTTCAATAGGAGAAGCTGCTGGCAGTGTGCTAGGATTTATAATCCCTACCCACATACCTCATCACTCCATCTTTTTAGGTGACTGCACTGTACTATGTGCACACGTTAGGAGACACATTATTAATGGAAATACCTTCGCTGACACTTGCATGCTGTTTTCTTGCATGTTCATGATGGCTTCGGAGATCTTGACGTCTATTGGGTCCATGACTGACTCAATGTTGAACGGCCCTTCCAGTCGCTCTGCTACCAAGAGCATTGCATCTGTAAAATACAAGTGTGGTACTTATGTTTATATACTATATTATATATAATGTAAATTATATATTACATATTATCGTTACAAGCATTTATTTGAGAACAGGGCCCTCCAGGTTTTTAACTTCCATTCATACATTTATAGACAAGTAGCTGAAAAAAATAACCATTCACTCATAAGGCTTTATGTATTCAAATAAAATGGATGACTAAATCTTAAAATCATAATATACTTTATTTCATTTGAAGATTTAGGACTATTTCACACACATAGAACCATACCTGTAATATAAGAAAATCAGCCCAAAGGCAGTAAGTTAAACATATGTAGTTATCCTACAAGAAATGAAAACATTATTTGGTTACATATGAGCTACATTTTGACAATGGGTTTTGATCTCCATTATGGATTGAATCTGAAATCTCCAGATTATGTTTTATGGGCTAATGTTTTAAACAATAGGCCCTATGGTAGTTTGACTGAGAAACATTCCCCATAGTCTCAGGCATTTGAACACTTGGTCCCTAGTGGGTTGCACTATTTCTGGGAGCTGTGGCCTTGCGTCTTCCTGTCAGTTTACTCTCTCTACTTTGCACTAGCTGCTCAAGTTGTGAGCTCTCAGCCTCCTGCTGTCATGGCTACTGCTTGTTGCCATGACTCCCCTCCATGATGGACTCCTAGCCCTCCTGAACAGGTAAGCCCAAGCAAACTCTTCCTTCTACAAGTTGCTTCTGACTATGTTGTTTTGTTATAACTACAGGAAAGAAACTGGTATAGGGCCTCTGCCTGTGGAACTATTTTAAAGGCTGTGGAAGATGTAGGGCTTGAGGCCTGGGTGGTGGAAATTGGTGTCTTGAAGGAGTGCTGAGATCTTTGGCTGCTTCTGCTCTGGCCCGAGTTCTCTGCTTATTGTCTGCAGGATGCTCCTGTAGCCACAGACACAGCTGCTCTCACTAGCACATCTTCCCACCACGATGAGTTGAAATCCTCCTGAAACCATGAGCTGAGACAAGCTCTTTCTCCCTATGTTGCTTCTGTCAAGTTCCTGCCCACAGTGATGGGGAAAGAACCTAACGCACCTTCTTCTTTGGGAAGATGGGAAGGAGAACACTGAAGTGCTGACTTGTGAACTTGGACCAACATGTCAAGACCCAGCTGAAACACAGCTGCTGTGGGAAGCGTTTTTTGGATTTTACAAACACAGTCATGTTCTTGCTATCATTCTACCCAAAATGACTTTCTATTTATGTGTGTCAATACACTCTAGAGGGATGAAGGACATTTTTCTTATTTGGTTGGGAAATTGAGGCTGACTCTGACACGTAGCATGTGGTAACTTCTCAAAACTATCTGAGGGGTTGCACTGAATTAGATTGAGTTGGAAATGGATAGGGAAGCTGGTAATCACGACATAGAGACATGAGTTATGTGCTGGGAACCATTCTTCCCCTGTCTTAACTAGCTGGAAGATCATGGGTAAGTGAGGTCATTGGAGTGACTGCTGAAAAGAGTTAGTGTCTGTGGTGAAGGGGTTACCAGTGTTACCAGACCCTGGCCCAGCTTCCATTTTTGATGGCCAGAGCATAATTTTGTAATCCACTTTCTACCTGGAATGAGGAACAGACATTTTTCTGATGGTGAGAATGTGACTGTGGTGGAAGAGCTATGCTTAGCATAGCTGAAGAACTAATTGTTACATTTGATTTAAAATAGCCATTTCAGGCCAACAGCTGCCACACTGAACTGCATAAGCTAGGCTTTTAACTTATACACTCAATAGCTCTCAAATTTTTTCAGTTGCTTAAGCTCTTAAAAACGAATCCTAAAAAATTCCCCCTCCCAGAACAATATCCATTTATTAGACAATGCTCACAAAACGCAGAAAAGGAAACAAAGAAGACTAATATGCCCATAACCCCACTTCCCAGAACAGCACTGTGAACACTGTGGTAGATACCCTATTTATTTTGTCTTTGTGCATGAATATTTTAAGCATGCAATGAAATATACTGTGTATATATCATATAATCTTCTTTCTAAATGTAATATATTATTAATGTAAAATGCTGTTTATAGTTAGCTGTTTTACAGTAGTAATGTGAGGAAACCAAATTTTATTTTTACTACATACCCAACCATGTTCAACCCAAGTCTGACATCAGAACATTTTTCGGGGTTATAAAGCAGCTATGAATTAGACTGGTGAGTAACGTTTTAAGAGGATTATTTTTAAAATATAAAAGATCTAGAACTGTCTGGAAAGTAAAGACTCATGTTTTTAAAGAGCCCCGGGCTTTATAAACAGTATCAACTCTTACTGTTATTAACTGTTTAATTTCTTCCAGATCTCATAAGAGAGCCCCACTGTATTCCTTGGGGAACAAGGAAGAGTTAACCCTTCAGGGCAGAATTGGGAGCAGAAAGAGGCTCCTGCCATATCACTCAGCTCCAGATGCTATCCCACATCTTCCTCACAGGTGCAGGTGCAGGTGGACCCACAAAAAATCTATGCATGAATGGCATCATGAAAAGAAGCCCTACAGTTTTTTCTGATATTTTTATTAGACAACACAGATTAACTGTATATGTCATGGATGTTTTTACAAAGCAGATATTTCACAAGACCTTAACAACCTAATTATCAATTAGATGGAAAATGCCTATTATTTCATTGTAGTAGGTCACTGTGAAATCCATTTCCTCCTCTATGTGTTTGAGGGGTAGTCACACGTCTAAAAGCTGGTTGTTTCTTTTCTGTATTTATATCTGCTTTGTATGCCCATCAAAAATAATATCCCTTATCAAAAAACTTTGCAGCAGGTTTTCTGGTGAAGATTGACTACTCCAGACAGAGCCTAAAAGGAAGTTCTTATATGGGATATGTATTGGAACTATGGAGAGACTCAACAATGTAATTAAGGAAGATGGTAACTATGGGATATTAATTGTGTGCTTCACATGTGCACTTTCATAAATCATTATACAATAAGTGTTGGTCTGTTTCAATGTATGTTTCCACCATGAGTAGGTTGGGTTGTAAAAAATAACTTTTTCATAAAAAAGTCTGTAAGAAAAAGGACAAGATTTGGATTGTATCCTAGGTCATAGCCTGGAGTTTAAATGACACAGGCTAAAGTCTCCTTAAAAGGTTTCTTATTCTCCACCATAAACTTGAGAGGCAGTAAGGGGTGCATGTGGAAGGTGGTAGAGGGAAGAAAGGGAAGGGGGAAATGTTTATATTTGAGTTTTTATAAGTTTCTTTTTCTTCTTGATTGAAGTAAAGCTTCTTTTGTAAACCTGCCCATCTATAGATCAGGGAAGAAGCTGCTGTATTTGTAACATAAACTAGGGAATGTTCTTTGATGATGACAATACATCTGTTCCATGTTATGTCAAGATCACAGCTCTTGGTGTGCCTGGGTTTACAAACTTAACCACCAACCCACAATGGAAATGTTCATGGTGGGGTGGAAGAATGCTTCAGAGGTTAGCAGTTCTTCCTGCTCTTCCAGAGGACCTGAATTTGGTTCCTAGCACTCAGGACTACCTATAATTCCAGCACCAAGAGTTCTGAAACCCTCTTCTGGGCTCTTTGAGTACCCATACACATAGCACACTCTCCTGCACCTGCATGCAGGCACACACACACACACACACACACACACACACACACACACACACACACACAGTTGTGGTGACTCCCTATCATGAAGTTTGACTGTTGGCTTTGGAAACATGGTCCTTTGATGAACCATCACAGTAAAACACACAACTACATGCCTCTCCAACTCAAGCTGTTGGTTCTCCCATTACTAATCTTTATGTCATGCCTTTGCTTTGCTATCCACATTAATGTTAAGTATTAATGTAAAATACTTAAATAATTTAAAAATGAACATCACTAGTCAGGATGTGATTCTTTTTTCTTTTTGAAATTTATTTTTCAACAATTTCATGCCTGTATACAATGCATTATGATCACATCAATTTTCTAGTCCTCACATTTAACTTTGCCTGAAACTCTTCCTAGTCCATGTCCCTCTTTTTAAAAATATATGTATGGGTGTTTTGCTTGCACGAATTCCTGTGTACTAGATGTCTACCCGGTGCTCATGTTGGCCAGAGAGTTCTGGATTCAATGAGAGACAGTGTTTCCAATATGAAGGTGGAGAGGGATAGAGAAAGAGTCCACACGCTGGCTTCTAGCTGTCATGTGAGCACACATGGGTGAGCACACCCACAAGTGTATCCTCACACCACACACACCCTAAAATTAATTAAATGAAGAATAACTTCAGAATTTCTTATGAATCTAAATATTTGAAGGAAAGTTCAACGTGACAAGTATACAGCAATAAATTGAAGTACTACATTCCTTTAGCTAAAAATACACAAATGTTCATGTTAGTGGAAAAACTGAGGCCAAGGACGTGTGAAGCATTAATACAAAGTCACACTTATTCCTGATTGTCATCATACATAGGTTTTGATAAGAATGGGGCAGGGTTGCAGGCATCAAGTCGATTTGAGGGGCTGCTAAGTAGTTTTCAAACACAAGGCAGTTCATAGACAGATGAGCCTCAGCCAAAGTTCACAGTAGATGTCTACACACATGGAAACCAAATGCACACGTACCGGTGTAAGCATCATCACCACAGCTTTCTTTTTTGTTATAGATACGTGGCACACGGAAGGAGGACGCAGCCATGTGAGTCTTTACTCTTCCCTTGGAGCTGTTAACTTTTGCCAGTTAAACAAGGACCCTCAGTGCCACAGCTAATGATCAGGTGACCCTTTTGGTGCATATCTCCTGTGTTGCCCAACTTAGGTATCACTTTTACAAAGCTTCTTGCTTGTGGAAAATAAAATTTGAATGGATTACCAATAGCTGTTACTTTAGAATCAGTTACCGTTGCAAACTGAGAGATGCTCTGTATTAGCACACAGGGAGTATGCAGCATCTCCTAGCCACCCAAGATGATGAGATGAGCCAGGCAGTTAGTAA